ATTTTTTTCCTTTGTCATCGCTAAAATTGAATTGGTTTTATGTGTGTGATGATAAAATAAATGGTTTGGTAGTAGGTCTATAGCCATCCAAATTCATCATATAATGTATCAAATTAAAGCTCTATCTTTCTAGTTTTCAAAGATTCAAACCACTCATAAATTTGATTTGTATTGAGTAAGTTATGACCAATTTACCACTGATTATTTAGTGGAAATCAAGAAACATAGGAAACTGAAATATGTGTGATGATAAAAGGAATGGTTTGGAAGTGGGGCTACATTTATCCAAATTAAGTGTATAATATATCAAATTAAAGCCTTATCTGTCCAGTTTCTAAAGATTCAAATCTCTCATCAATTGGAGCTTTATGGAGCAAGTTATGGTTAATTTACTATTGACTATTAGGTGGAAACTAAAATGTATGATGATAAAATGAATGGTTTGGCAGTGGGGCTACAGTTATCCAAATTAAGCATATAATATACCAAATTAAATCCATATATATCTAGTTTCTAAATATTCAAACCTCTCATCAATTGAAGTTTATTAAACAAGTTACGGTCAATTTACTACTGACTATTAAGTGGAAACGAAAATACGTGTGATGATAAATGGAATGGTTTGTCAGTGGGGCTATAGTTATCCAAATTAAGCGTATAATATATAAAATTAAATCTATGTTTGTCTAGTTTTCAAATATTCAAACTGCTCATCAATTGGATTTTTATTGAGTAAGTTATGACTAATTTACTACTGACTGTTTAATGGAAATCGAGAAACAGGGAAAACTGAAATGTGTGTGATGATAAAATAAATGATTTGGAAGTAAGGCTACAGTTATCCAAATTAAGTGTATAATATATCAAATTAAAGCCCCATCTGTTTAGTTTCTAAAGATTCAATCCTCTCATCAATTGGATTTTTATTGAGCAAGTTATTATCAATTTATTATTGATTGTTCAGTGGAAAACAAAATGCGTGTGATGATAAAATGAATTGTTTATTAAACCCAAATTTAAGGGATTGTCATATTAGGACTAATAAGAAATATTTCAAATAACGCCTATTAGTTGGAAAACAAAATCAGGCAAAATTAATTAATTTAACATATATACTCACACATCAGCAGGACATAAACAATTAATCATTCATATAACAAATTAAAATACACGAATGTTTTTACAAAAAACATATTCAACAAAAATGAACTATTTCTACTAATATAAATATGACATATACTCACAATTCAGCTAACAATAGGATCATTCTCGATTTGATCTTAATAAAGTATATGAACATTTCCTTGAAAACAAGCATAACAAAATTTAATCGATCTTCATATTAAGATTGTTAATAAACAATTATTCATTCGTATAATAACTGTTACCTGAAAATGAAATCAATAAAAGTTAATTAATTTTCATATTAAAATTGTTAAGGAATACACTTACCGTTCGGTAGGACTAACACAATTAATCATTGAAATAGATTGACCAAACAAAAACAATAATTCAATCAAATAATAACCGTTAAAATAGTTAGGAGATGTACTTACGATTTCGTATTAAATCAGTTAGAAGATATACTTACAGTTCAGAAGAACAAATCAAAATAACAACTCATTTGACAATGTCAATCGGACATCATGCCTTTATTCTATGTCAATTCATGAATCTTTGACTTGTAAACAACAACAAAAACATAAATAAATAAAAAATCATCAATTAACAAAATCATGAAGAACAGACGTATTATTGACACAAACTAACATGACCTATAAACAATTAACAAAAGACTAGACGTATTGTTGACACTAACTAACATATTGCGATAATACAGAATTGAACATACGCCCCTTTTATAACCCCCTTTTTAGACCTTTGGAATGCCAACATAATTAAATATAAAAAAAAAAGTTTGCAATGTCAATATAATGCACCTATATAATTATTAATAGCAATCCTATACAGATGTCATTAAACTACAATTATTAATAGTAATCCAATGCATCTATATACTTGTTATTAATGCACATCCAACGCGTCAAAATAGTTACAGCTTTGGAATGTCAATGCAATGCACCTATATTATTATTATTAGAATATCAATGCAATGCATTAATATCTCATTAAACCACAAATCCAACTTTGGAATACTAATACAACAATTAATATTGTCTATATCATCACCAATAAAATTCAACCACATGGCAATCACAAATCCAAGGTGTCATTATGGTTAGATTTTTAAAATGTCAATGCAATGCACCTATATAATTAGTATTATTATTAATTATTAACACAATTTTTATTAATTATTAAATACTAATACAAATCCAACATGTCAAGATGGAGCAGTAACTACAAACTCAATATGTTAAGATGAAGCAGTTTGATTGGGCTCATTAAATCACAAATCCTAGTTGTCAATCTAATGTGTCAAAATGAAACAATTCTAGAGCTTCTAAAATGTGTCACATGTCAAGCAACCAAGATGGGTATTCAACTTTATATATATATATAAAGAGAGAGAGAGAGAGTCAATTAGAAATATATGATTGACTTTAGGACACCTATTATAACACGAATGTGTGGCAAAGGTAGCGGTCTTAGATGGCATAGAGCAATAACCTAAGATAGTAATAGGTCTTGTGTTATATATGATACATAGTGTCAATTAGAAATATATGATTGGCTTAGGACACCTATTCTAACACGGATGTGTGGCAAAGGTAGTGGCCTTAGATGACATAGAGCAATAGCCCAAGATAGTAATAGGTCTTGTGCTGAAATGATTCAATATACACTATGAAAATTCATAGAAAACATTGGAGAGGTCACAAACTTTGCTTGATTCAAGTCATTTGATTTGGATGGACTTTTGGATGCTCGGAGCCTTACATGGCAAAAATAATAGGTGCTAGAATACACAACACAACCCAGCGTTGTGGAAATGTAATAGTTGCCAGCCAAACCGAACCAAACATGTGTAAAATGCCCCTAAAACGTGTAAAACACCCTTCAATAAAATTTCAATATGTTCGGTAGCCGTTGATGTCACCACCAATCACCAAACTTTAGAATTTTTAATTAGTTAGTCAACATTTCATCTTAACCCGAATTATAAAAGTTGAATACCCCTTTAATTAATATTTTATGTTACCACTTACTACAAATCAACAAACCTTGCAGAGTTACTGTGTTGAAAGAAATAATAGTGTAGGGGTGTTATGAAGTTCTCTAAAAATATTTGGGTACATAGGTAATTTTTAGAATCTATGGACTGGTTTGTTGCTCTAAATAAGGTTTGTCTTTATTAAAGTACCCCTAGTACCCCTAGAGTTTTGAGAATTATTACTTGCCACCCTTGAGATTATTATTCACCTTTCCTATGGTTTCTCTATCTAGATAACCTCCTCTATGATATAAACATCATTGACCTTCCCAAAATTTTACGTTGTTAGATGATGCAATCAACGATAATTAATCAATTTATTTTCCAAAAGTATAAGGTTCATCTTGAGGATATCAACAAAACTAGCCTAAGTAACATATTCCTTTTATGTTCTTGGAATCAATATATAAATAATGTGTAAATACATACATTCAATATGAAAGTAATGTTATATATTTAAAATGGAGATTTACGTTAGTACTATATTAATAGTGAAAGAGCAATATTAACTTTGACACTTATGACTTAACACGAGTCATTCATTTTTGTTAATCTTCCCGTGATAGGTGAGTAATTAAAAGTAGTTATACTTAAGGTCAAACTCATCATCTTTGAGCATGTTGGTTAGAAAGATGAACCGTCTATCAAGAATATAAAAACAAAAAAATTAAGTAAAACATTTAAGTCGTATAGTAATCCACAATCAAATCTCATAAACTTCTCTTATAATTTCAAACGTGACAACTCGTAATTAGACAGTTCTCAAAATGACAGACAAGACCTATTTGTAAACTTCTCAAAATGAAACCTATTTGTAAACTGACCAATTACGAGTTGTGAAATAAAGTTGTGAGATTGAGTTGTGGACTTAGCATTACTTTAAGCTGTAATATCTTGATCCCTTTTCATGTTTTTTCACATAGAAACCTTGTAGGATGAAATTTAAAGTTGTTTAAATGTAACATTTAAATAGATATTGCCCTATATATCCATTTTCACTAATTTTAATATCCAAAAATGTTAAGGATTTTTTAGAAGACAAATTTAATAACAAAATTACATTAGTTAACAAGGACAAAAGTAGACTGAACACTCTAGACTACTAAGTCTAGCACTATCTAGCTATGTCTAGTATACTTTAATTATGCTATTAAATCATGTTGTTAAAGGCTAGATTACGGAATCTTATATAGTATAGCATTATAGATTAGAGAAAAAATTATTTGTTATTTCATAACAATTTAACAAATGAGTAATATTAGACGTACAAATAAATCTTATAAAGATTATTATACAAACTGAAGTGACAAAAAATGAAAGATTGAGTGAATATAATGTATTTGATTTTTTGTATTCACTTTTCTATTATTTTTTGTCACATTAGTTTGTATAAAAATCTAAGATTTATTTGTACGTCTAGCATTATTAATTACAAATTAGTAATTAATTTTACAGCTAAATTTGTGTTTTAAATAAGTTGATATTTTTAAAAATTGAGATTATCAAATTAGTTGTGTATATCTAGACCCCTTTCTTTTTCCAATAATATTACGAAAAATGCTACATCAATAACATTTTTTGACAAATTTTCTCTCATAATCTTGACGTGATAACTCCTAATTGATCAATTTGTAATGAGTTCTACTTGGATTCAATATGTCGAGGTTGTGAGAGAAAATTTATGAGAAGTGGCCTATCCAAAATTTTAATAGGAAATAATAAAACAGTAGGGACCGGAGGGATAGATTGTGTTAAAAATAAAAAATAATTTATCCCCCTAAATAAAGTACTAAATTACATTCTTAAATTGCAAAAGCCACTACAATTATCAGTTGCAGGGACTAAAGAGCGAAAAAAAGAAAAAGAAAAAAAAAACATGGCATCCTGTCAACTCCTTGTTCCTTGTTCTTCTTCTTCCTTGAGAAGCAGTTTCAAGCTAAACCCACATCAACATGGCTCTTCTTCTTTCAAACCAAAACTTCACTTCAAGAAACCACCGACAACTCTTGTCAATTCCACCAAAAAACAAATGGAGGTTGCTTCTACTTCTACTCTTGTTTCTCTCATTCTTTCAATTCATTTCACTTTCTAAATTCTAAACTTAATTGCTTTCAATTCAATCCCAGATAGTTTATGACCCTGATGAAAGGATAAACAAGTTGGCTGATCAAGTGGACAGGGATGCTCCTCTTTCTAGGCTCACTTTGTTCTCACCCTGCAAGGTCTTTTAATTTTATGCTCTTTATTTATTTTGGGTATTTTTTATATTGATTTTGGTTGGTTATGTGTTGCAGATTAATGTTTTCTTGAGAATAACAAACAAAAGAGAAGATGGGTTTCATGATTTAGCATCTCTCTTTCATGTAAGATTATACACTATTATCTTTTGATATTGCCATGAGGTTTTCAATTTTTCATTTTGACCCTTTCTGTGGCTCCAGGTAATTAGTTTAGGTGATACTATTAAGTTCTCTTTATCACCATTGAAAACTAAGGATCGTCTTTCAACAAATGTGCCAGGAGTTCCTCTTGATGATAAAAATTTGGTAAGGCAAAAACCAAGTATACCTTCTATTTATTTATTTTATTTTATTTTATTTTTTTTGTTTCTGTTTCTGTGTTTTGTAAAGGGTTTTTAAACTTTGCTCTGGCAGATAATTAAAGCCCTTAACCTTTATAGAAAGAAGACTGGCAGTGACAACTTCTTTTGGGTAAAAAGTGAAGCTTGATTTTTATTTCAGTTTTACAGTAGCCTATATAAAATCAAGTAATTATGTTAGAAAATTTTGTGGGCAGATTCACCTTGATAAACGTGTGCCTACTGGAGCAGGACTTGGCGGTGGAAGCAGTAATGCTGCAACTGCACTTTGGGCAGCAAACCAATTCAATGGTGGTGCTGCCACTGAGAACGAGCTTCAAGAATGGTCAAGTGAGATTGGTTCAGATATTCCCTTCTTTTTCTCCCATGGGGCAGCTTATTGTACTGGTAGAGGTGAGGTATGATTTCTTTTTCAGGAAAATGCAGCTATTAGATGTTATGCAATTCCGTTTTCTTACCAGGCTTTGTAATTGCATAATTTTATATGTATCATAGTATGTTTTGGATGTTGCATTTGTTATGAGAACCATAGTGTTAAGTTGTTTTGTAGCTACTTATATTTTGGAGGTGCAATGATCCAGACTTACTCTTTCACTCATTCTTTTGAGAAATTTAAAGTAGCCTCTTATGTTTTTTATTTTTATTTTTTTATATTCTCAAATGCTTTTGGCTACTAAAAGATGCTATGCTGTAGTAACGGTTTTAGTTCAGGTATAGGATTCAATCATATTATGCATAATATGTATGTATTATGGTGTTAGTAGAGCCAAGTAACTAACATCTGTATCAGACTTGATAAATGTTTAGTTTACATGATGCTGGTACGTGTATACATATTTTTGGGTTATTGGATTTATTTCGATGTAATATTTGTCCATTGCAGTAATGAGTTCTGTTGATCACATTATTATCATAGCTCTGTCTCTGTGTCTTCTAATGTCAGAATTTTGTCATGTTATCTGTCTAACAGAATGGAAAGGATGATTTTACCGTTTTTCAGAAATAGAACAATATGGCTGCCTTCAACAATCTTATTATTGTATTATTTAGAGTTCACTCAAACACATATTCATTTATTGACTTGCAATTGTTTGTTATCATTGACTGAAGTTCCCCCAAATTCATCGGAACTTTACTTTGATTTTTCCAGATTGTTCAAGATATTCCTCCACCCATACCTTTGGATGTTCCTATGGTTCTCATAAAGCCTAGGGAGGCATGTCCCACAGCTGCAGTGTATAAGGTATGCAGTTTATAATATAAAGTTGCACTATCTAGTTTATTTACCATAGTTCAATGCTAAGAGAAGTTTTGAATTCTCAGAAACTTCGGCTAGATCAAACCAGTAAGGTTGATCCTTTAATATTGCTGGAGAAGATCTCAAGGAATGGTATATCTCAAGATGTTTGTATCAATGATCTAGGTACGAGTTTTTAAATAGTAGTCATCATGCTTCTATTTGGTTTTCCCCATGCTTGTTTTTTCCTTCTCTCTTTTTTCCATTTTTCCCCTCATATTTGGCAATCTACACCACACCAACTCTCTTGGGTTGGAAGGAGCATGGGTGATTTGGTGGTAATTGATCAGGCAGGTCATCTGATTAGATTTCTAACTATGGCAGTTTTTTTCCCTTTTTTCCCCTCATATTGAAGCACACATTGGTTTCACAGGCATCATGCATTGAACTGATGTCATGCATTGAACCGATGGTTGTTGCTGGTATTCAAAATTAGTTGGATGGATGGTAATTTGGGTCTGTTTATATTGAGGCAGTGTCTGAATCAATTACAGTAGATTTTATTAGGGTCACTGTTGTTTAGGAGCTGACTGTTCTTGTATCCTGACCGTTATTAATTTACATGTTTTTGTTTGTGTTCTCTACAGAAGCCCCAGCATTTGAAGTTCTCCCATCTCTTAAAAGATTAAAACAGCGTATAATTGCTGCCAGCCGAGGACAATATGATGCTGTTTTTATGTCTGGGAGGTATGGAAACTGGAAACATAGTTGAGTCTCATTTTCTGTCTCAGCATGCAAGTTCAATAGGATATATGCCTGGAGCATTGTATAATGTACATACACTATGAATTGACCAAGAAATTGTCTTGTTACCATCACATCCCTAATTAAATATGCTACAATCCTAAGTGCTTATGCTACTAAATGTGATCTAGAATACTACCTAGTGTGCCCTGCTCCCAACCACTAAAAATTTCAGCTGCATTATAAGTGGCTCTATTCATACTTCTGATCCGAAGAACTGAAGCAAGGCATAATTGTTATCAGCTTATTAAATTAAATCTGTATTGTCAGATTGAGGAGCTTTTGTTTCAGTTATTATATAATTAGGAAGACACTTTATAGAAGTCAAAACTGAAGTAATCACAAAATAGTTTAACTAAGAAGTGATGTAATTTACAGAGCAAATTAAAATAACTTAGTTGCTATAGGCATTTAAGCAACCTATTATGTTGGCTTGCTTTCAGTGATAAAAAACAAGCTTCAAATTTTGATCTCAGTTAAATTCTCTACACTTTGTGCTGGGGATAAATCAGTGAATGAAGGAAAAACAGAGAAGTTTCTTGTTATCATTGTTTTCAGTTGAAATTTTACTTTTGGCTCATTTCTTTAAAATCTTGAACGTCTGGGATCAAGAGTTTCTCAACATGGAAATCCGATTCAGGTTATTCGAGAGGTCCTCTGCTCAAATCCTTAAAATATCCCTATTCAGTTAATGAATTTTCATGTATATGTTTATAGATGTGTTTGGTAGAAGGTATATTCTTGGATACCAAAGACATGTCCTTACTCAAACTAATCAATGATGAAATGAAATTAAGTTCTCATGTCCCTCATTTTTTTATTTTGATTGCTCCAAACTCGTTTCTGATATCTATATATTTGATGCAGTGGTAGCACTATTGTTGGCATTGGTTCAACAGATCCTCCACAGTTCGTCTATGATGATACTGATTACGAAGATGTGTTTTTGTCGGGTAAGACTCATGTAATTGAAATGGTAACTTTCTACTTTGTAATTGTATCTAATATACTTGCTGAAGCCCTGCGTACATGACTTTTTTCTATGAAGTAGCTTTGAGAAAGTCATGTAGATCTAATTTTGTCAAATTTAATTTTTGAACCGCAACATGTATAGAATATCTTAGGAAGTTAAAGATGGCATGTTCCCAGTTTTTTTGTGCATATGCACGTATGATTCTTGGATGAAGAAGCAACTTGGAGATCTGCTGATCGGAATTAATCTATGGATTGTATACCTGTTATGTTTGTAATGTCTTGGTAGTTAGTTTGTTATCGTGAAGTTGGAAGGCTTCCTTAGATTTTATTCACAATCCGAATAGCATGTCTTATGCTCTCTAATCAACAAGTTGCTACAGCAGAAGCAATTTGCGGTTTCAAACTTATTAATATCTTTGCTACCATGCACTGTTTGAAAGCTTAGTTTAACTGGTGGCTTATGTTGTATCTATCAATGTGTCAATTTTTTCCATTTGCTGTGATTGCGAATTGGCTTACCATATAAGATGTCGAAGCTTTGGTATCTTTCCTTATTCATTCTGATGATGTTGGATGCAGAGGCAAGTTTTATCACTCGTGAAGAGAATCAATGGTATGGTGAATCGAATTCAATGAGTGCCTCTTGCCAACCACCGGAGTTTTCCAGAAGTATGGGGTGATGTATCCTTGTGGAAAATATAGAAATAAATCATTTTAGTTTATTTCAATCATTGTTGCTATATGTATTTCAGGATGAAATGTTGACTTTTGTTCGGCTTAGAAACGTTGAGTTTTCATATTGTAGAATAGCATAGTACGAATGAGCCAAATTGACAAGTGCATATAATTTCAATGTTAACAGTATTTTATGTGAATTTCATTTCAATTAATCCATTTGGTTGTGAAAGATTAATCATTTACATTACAAATAATATTAAATTTACAAAGCAATAATGCTCTTATTGTCAGGACTCTTTTAAGTGTAAATTATTCTTGAAAGTAAATATTATGCAAGTTGCAAATGTAAATTTTTTTAGTTAAAGGATGTAATATATTAGTATTTATGATTAATAAAAAAAAAAATTATAAAAGCAGTTAGATGTTTTACCTTCAAACTTTGAGTTAAACAAATGACTTTATCCAGATAAAATTATCTGAATATCACAATTAAATTGAAGAAAACAAATAGCACAATATCTGAATATTCAGATTATGAAAAAGGAATCAAGGACTGTGGGATGCTTTTTCACTAGATATATTTACCAACAATCAACAGAACAGCAGCATCTTAAGAAGAACCAACAATAAAAACATCAAATCCATACACTTTTTTTTTTTTTTTTTTCCTTCAATTTATTCATTTAAGTCTTTTCTCCCACCCTACAGAGAAGCAGAAGAAACAAACTGTCTAGGTAAGCTAAAAAGATCTTTCCCTTCAAATGGTGATGTCCACTCTCGAGAACCGGCAGCTGATGAATCGCCATTAGACACTACACCATCCTTCAATCCCGGAATGGGAACACCATTCCCATTGGCTGGAGTCAATCTCAATGTTGACTTAACACTCTCAGGATTAGTATTTGAATTATATATATGAGAGTTCTTAACTGAAGTTGTTGTCCCCGGCCACAATCTGCTAGGACTTGGGGAAGATAAGCCTCGATTCAAACTCCAGTCGATATTTGTGTAGTCAAACTGTGCCAACGAGCCAGCAGTGCTCCAATCAACTGGAGAGGAAGAACCAGATGTGCCAGTTGATCCCAACCCTGAGAAAAGTCCTAGGGAGGAAGCCGCAGAAATTGTGGGCACAGAACCTGCCCTACTCCATGAAGTATTTCCATAAATATTCCCAGTAGACTCCTCTGGACTGCTATTAGGAATGAAGTATTGCTGCTGTTGTGGATAGTGAAGCTGGTGATACATCTGATTTGAGTTAATAGTGCTCGTACTATGACTTGTACTCGGGATGTGGCTCATAAACCCATTGGACTTCATATTTTCAACAATATTTGTAGGATACCAACTAACAGCGGTTGTTGGAGGAGATGAGCTCATGCTTGTAGCTGGAACATGCTTTGCACTCAGAGATTGGGGTCGTTGCATCATAATAACTGGTTCCCTAACTGTTGATGGAAGATTCTTGATTTCAATTCCAACAGGTATATACCGAGTTTCTGCCTTGGCCGGTGGAGCTGATGCTTGCAAAGGTGATGTCAGGGAATAGGAACCGGAAGAATTAGATCCTGCAGTTGTCCATCTTTTCTCAGCAGGCACTACAGGTTTTTGAGGTTTTGCCCACTCAAGCTTTGGTTCAATTCTCTTCAGGGCTGGAACACTTTTACTATTAGATTGGGAAGATACTCCAGCTGTAACAGCTGCTTTTGTGTAGTTGAAATCCTTTTCATCCCTCCGCTGTTGTATAGTCAGAGGTGGATTGGATTTTAATTGCGACCTTACTTCCAAGTTGCGACTAGAACTAATTGAATGCATGCCACTATCACTAGTGGGAGAATCGCCAGTCTCTTCTGGCTTTGATGGTGCAGAGGGTGGCTCCTCCTTCATCGCCTTCAAGGTTTCCGCTGCTTTTTCTAGATTTCCCTCTGCAGCAACAACAGCTCTTTGAACTTCCTGCTTTGTACACCTGTACCTCATTTCCATATCTTCAATCCGAGCAAGTTCTTCGGATATGTCAATTTTCAAATTACCCCCACCAGGATTCGGATCCTTGTTCTTATCTGCTTCTTCACCCCCTTCAAACAGCCATGCAACAGACTGTTCTACTTTGCCTTCGTTCATGATAAGAGCCATTGTTGCACGGTCATGAGAAAATCCCATTGCCACAAGCTGTTGAGCCAATGCTTCAAGCTTTCTTGACATGAGATAGCCACTACATCGCTCCTGTAATTCCTGAGCTCGCCTCTCTTTCTGACGTTGATGCTTCTTCTCATTTTTCTGACGGATTTTTTCTCTCTTATCATTGTCAGCTCCTGGTATTATTTCCTGTCGGAAAGCATTAGATGTTTTCTCTTTGTGATCTTCTGACTCACCAGACCAGCTACCATTGTTAGAAATAGAGTCATACTCAAACCCCAATACATGGGAGCCTCCTACATGCTCGTCTGTTTCATCTATGTTTCTGAAACGACCATTACTATGAAGGGGTGATCCAGAGGACGATGGAACTGATTCAAAGGTATGAAATGTTCCTGAAATTGGATTGTACGCACTAGCTGGGATACTACTACCTGCAATAGCAGATCCTGATGATTTTAAAGAAGCCTTTGATGTTTCTTTCCCAGCTTTTTTGTCCTTTGACTTAGACTTGGATGCTGGTGACATTTCCTAGTAAAGCAGATAAATTCCTGCAATGCATATAACCGTTAACAATACAGCCATCTATAGAAGACAGACAAGTAAACAGACAAACCTATTCTATCTCTCCTAAACATACAGAAAAGCCTATTAGTTTAATAGTCAAAACCATGAACTGGACACAAACAGATTTAAGTTCCACTTAACCATTCTGAAAAAAAAAATTCCTCTTTAATGCAAAACTGTTCCTATTCTAATGAAATGTTTATATGTTTATCAAAAAATTTTAAATGAATTTTTTGTTTAATAAGAAACATTCAAGAGATATTAATAAAAGCTGAAATTTAAGACTCTTCCCTATAATTCAAGAGAAGCATGTTCCAGCTCATAGATCCTGAAGACATACCACTTGTGTATCCTTCCATGCCATATTTTTTATGTTATAATTTCCATGGCAAATTGGTCTGTTTTGCTAGGAATTTTGAGTGTAAGGCTCATTATGTCCCCTTGACTAGATGTATCTCTTTTTTAATAAATCTCCTGATTACAATGAGGTTATCCCAAAAAGTTATTATGGAGCAAAAGAAGATTTTCAATTAAAATTTATGTGTTCTTTTCTTGGGGGAAACTCCAAAACCCCTTTTCCAAAAGAGCCCTAATCTTATTCCTCAAACTTACAATTACCAAACCACCTCTAGACTTGACCAAGATTTTAGGCCAATTTAGGACCAGCAACCTTCTCCATACCTTCCTAGAGGAAATAACACATCATTTTCCCAATTTAAAATTTAGTAAGTATCTATTGGCGGATAGCACAAATTGCACTAGAGTGAGTCTCCCTACATTGGAAAGAGAGGATCTACTCCCAACATCCTAGTATTTTTTTCAATTTTTCCACCACCATATCCCCAAAGCTGCTTAATCTAGGATTGCCGTCCAAGGATAGTTCCAAGTAGCCAAAGGGCCAAAATGAAAAATGTTTCATTTTTATCTTCGGAAGAATTAATCCCCACTATGGTGTTGTTTGATTAGTTTACTTTAAGACAAGAGATACTAAAGCATTCAATAATTTTGAGAAGATTCGCTATTCATCAGCCATACCAAGTCAAAATAAGTTATCTGTCATCAACAAATTGGAGATGGTAACAATACTTATTTTTTCACCTTTTGCCCTCATCTACAGCATTTGTAAGTAGAGCATTGCATCACATACTTGTCTGCCCTTTACAAAAGCAGATTGCAGACTAGTATTAATATTTACAAGGACAACTTTTAGTCTTAAAGCTAAGACTGAAGTAATGATTTTCTACACTGTGGTTAGATTGGTCTTCTCTTCTTTCTTTCATCCTAAATGAAAGTTGACTGATAACTTTATTGATCTCCATACCTCAAAGAATTCTTCAAAAACTTTCGAAATATCTTTTTTTATGGTATTCCCAACAACTTTGAAAAAAAAGGAAGGAAAAACATTTGTCCTTAAGCTTTATTTAAATAGCATTCCATGATGTCCCTTTCAATCTCCTCAAAAATTCCTCTCTGACCATCTAACCTTTTCTAATGTGCTAGTAGCTCAATTAAACCTGAGAATAGCTGGTATACTGACCCTAATGCTTGAATACAGTTCTGAAAGTAGTTGATGATATGGTCTTCTGTTCCAAAGTTATTTAACTTTCTTCGGATGCAGTCTTCCTAATTAGATTCTTGCAATTTTGCCACAAACAATTGTGTAAACATTGTGGTCTTAACATCTCCCTTTTTAGCCCATTCAACCCTATCGTTTTATCTCCATTTTTTGTTTCTTCTCTAAAAAATCAACCCCTCTACTCTAATTTTAGCATGCCTCCTTCCAATGTGCAAGTTTTCATTCATCAGCTTGCGTGAAGTGAATGATTTTGTGGTATTGATCCTAGAATCCTTGCCCAATTAACTGTCACTATAGGACTGGTAACACCCCTATGATACTCAACAAGTGCTCTATATCATCAATTCTCGAAGTCAAAGAGCTCCAACATTCCCTAATTTCCGAGTACACATGCATAAGCAACCTTTCAGGTGACTTGGAGTTGTTTGATATAGCTACAGTTCTTAAGCACAATCAATTCTAGCACTGTTATGAAAATATTCAGCCATAATAAAATTTAAAAAAAAAAATGGAGACACTGCAGCACTTGTAACAGGAAGCAACAATAATTTTCTTTTTCTTTCCAAAACCTCTTAAGCACGTTAATTTAATTACATCACTAATAGTTTATTTAAATATTATTATTTAATTCAAATAATTATGGATATAAGGCTACTTGGGGCCTGATGCTATTTTGTAACAGTAAATTATTATTCTGTTTACTCAGTCAATAATTTCAACAAATCAGATTTTGTAAAGTACATCCCACCCTACTTTTCAGATCTTAAAAAAAAAAAAAAAAAGAAAAAAAAAGAAAAAGATTATGAGAGAATTTAATTATTGAAAAATCATTGTTTCAAATATTTACCAAACACTTTTTCGATAGTAGATTACTGATTTCAGCTTCTGAAAAGCAATCCCAAATCAGCTCTAAGAAATCTCAATCAATTTCATTAAACGAATTACGTTAATACAAATATAAATTCTCAACAATTAAAAACTATTTACTAAGTAGTAAGTAACGTGTTAAGATAACTATAAATTTCAAAAGAAAAGAATTTCATGGGTTTATACTCAAAGCAAAATAAATAAACTCACAACTAATTTTAACAACACATGTTAGGAGCGATTAACAAACTCTTCTTCAGTGCTAGATTCAACAAAATTAAATAAATAAATGAACAAAACTCATTCATTATTATCCTATAGGCAAGCGCTACTCTATTTTTTTTTAACATTAAAATCCTTTCGCCTCGAGTCCACATTCAAGCAATCTATAGCTATAACGTCATCTCTAGCTCTCGGCTTCTAAAAACAAAACGGTACCAGTATTCCCAAAACTACATTACTTATGCATAATTTACATCTATTCTGTAAAAGAAAAAAAATTAAAAAAAAAAAAAAAACCTACAATAACCGCAACACTATAGCTTTCTGAGTAAGGACGGCAGAAATTTCATGCTCGCAAATTAATATTTTGAGAGAAAATTAGCTTTATTGATGAAACAGAAAATTAAACCCTAAATATTGGGCGAGTATTTCGATTCAAACAGATACAGAAATCAATTTGTGGCAAAACTGACCTAGGCTTAAACGTTGAAACCTTGCGAACGAAACTCCACCGGCGGTTTTGCTGCAAAATAATTTGTAGTCTTCTTTTTGTTTCGAAAAATAAAATTTTATTTTTCTTTCTTTCTCTCGGCTTCTTGCCCTAGTTCTTTTTCATTTCATGGCAGCACCTTTTCGTTCCTTTTATTTATTTATTTATTTTTGCTGCTATTTTTTTTTTTTTTTTTTTAACCTCAAAACCATAGCGTTATGGGCTGGGCAAAACATGGGCCTCCTTTTATTTGGGGCTTAATTGTGCCCCAATAATTTATAGGGACCGTTTAGTCCCCACCTCTTCGTAGTTTATTCTTTAGCCCCGTTTTAATTTTTATGATTTATTTTTATTTATAGACAAATTTAACCTTATATAAAATTAAAAAAAATTCAGCGGCGCTATAGCCTTGGGATTTTTTTCTCTATTATTAATTATTTAATAAAAAATATAATTAAATTATTGAGATATTTAAAAATTACAGTAAATGATAATAAATCTTTTGATAAAAATTTTGAAAAAAAAAAAAAGACTTAATTTTGTAAGTATTATAGAAAAAATCTTTAATGAAAATTGGTGTTTTTTTTAATTAAAATAAGTGAAATAATTAGTACTGAGTAAACTTATGGGGGGTTACGCGCTATTTTCCTTAAAAGAAAATAGTCCAGCCTTATTATAGTCGAATACATCCCAAAATTACAGTTTTATTTTTTATTTTTTATTCTGTGCTTAACCATCACTGAGTGGCTCAACAGTCAACTATGACTTTTGAGTGTATTACTTAAAAGATCCTAAATTCGATCCACTTAGATTGCTAATAGGGGTGACCATTGAGGGGATTTACCCCGCTATCGAACTTTAGGATCACAGGGGATTAGTTGAAGTGTATATAAGTTAGCCCAAACACTCCAATCAGGAAAAGAAAAAAAAGAGTTCATCGACCTAACGCAGTCCAATACTGCAAAGCAAACATACCCTATAAAGTTCCCTAGTGAATTTATCATTAACTTTTAAAATATAATTTATTCATTTAGAATATTGTCTTTTTTCATTCTAAGCAGATTTTGAAAGCACTGTGTGATAAGTTATATAATTAAGTAGCAAATTGTAATTGTTAAAGACTCTCAGAAAATTAAAACTTTGTTTTATACATTTTATGCCATAGTACAATCTTAGTGATGAAAGTTTAATGAAATTATTATTTTAGAGAAGAAAAACGTATCGTTTCACAATATATTTTAAGACATGATATTAGAATTAGGTAACTAATGATAGATATAAAATAGTTTTTTGATGTTCTACATGGGAAATAATTTATACTTCATTAATGAAAAGTTCAAGGAATACAAAGAAACACTACCTATTCAAAAATTATTCGATGAAAATTTAGGAATTTGTGTCGATAAAAAAAATAAAAGGAAAAAGGAGGTACTAAAATTGTGAATTATGAGTGCAAATAATTTTGAAGAAATTATAGATACAAAAAGGTATAAATTCTTAAATACATTATTAGATTTGGCTTTAGGTAGTAACGGAATATTAATTTTGGATGAGAAAATTGCATTTTGAAACTTTTTGGATAGAAAAGTGTCATTAAGACAAACCTTAGTGGGAAAAATCATTAACTCTTTAAAGAAATATGATTGCACAAGCTTTAATTTGTCTTTGTAGTGAGCATATGATTCTAACAATTTCTTACATATAAGTATGAAATTATTTGTGAAAAATGAATATAAAGATTTAAAAGCACACAGGATTACAATCCTTAAGTACACACACACACACAATATATATATATATAACTGAATACCCATGAGGGTTGTTCGCCATGGGCACGTTTTGGAACTCATAAAATTGTTCCATTTTGACATATAGAATTTGTGGTTGCCATGTGGTTGAATTTTATTGGTGATGTTATAGAGATATATTAATTGCTGAATTGGCATTTCAAATATAAAGGTAAAAGCATACCTATTTGAGTGATGAGCAATGCTAGTTTTACAAAGACACATACAAAGGGAGCATACAAAGACAATCCATACCCTTGATTTTCATGATTTCTCTCTCTCTCTCTCTCTCTCTCTCTCTCTCTCCGTTTTTTCTTCTGGATGATGTTACTTTGTAGCCCTCTTTGTATGGGTCTTTGTAAGGATAGCATTTTTCTTTGAGTGACACGTATGACACTTTTTCTTTTTTTTTTTAAGCTCTAAAATTGGTTTATTTTGGAGCTCTAGAATTGCTCTCTCTTGCCACATTGGATGTGTGGTTTAATGAGATATTTTTAACTCTAAGATTCATGAATATCTATGCTGGTTGTTCGCCATGAATACTCATACGGGTTGTTTGCCACGTGGCACATTTTGGAAGATCTAGTATTGCTCAATTTTGACACATTGGATTGACAAGCCAATCAAATTGCTCTATCTTGACACGTTGGATTGATATTTATTTATGCATCTATAATTATTAATTAATTAAAAAAAATGAGATTTGTGTTAATAATAATAATAATAATAATAATAATAATAATAATAATAATAATAATAATAATACAGGTGTATTGCCTTGACATTCCAAAAATGTGCATTAATAACAAGTATACAGGTGCATTGCATTGGCATTTCAAAGATGTGCATTAATAACAAGTATACAAGTGTATTGGATTGCTATTACTAATTATGGTTTAATGACATTTGTCTAGGATTGCTATCTATAATTATGCAGGTGCACTGTATTGACATTAGAAAACTTTCTTCGTATTGAAATCGTATTTAATTGCGTTGGTATTCAGAAGGTCTAAATAAGGGGTTATAAAAGGGGCTCATGTTCAGTTGTGTATCATCGCAATTTGTTAGTTGGTGTCAACAATACGTCTGGTCTTTTGTTAATTGTTTATATGTTATTTTAGTTTGTGAAAATAATATGTCTATTCTTCACGTGCATCTTGATCGATGGTTTTTTATTTATGTATGTTTTGGTTGTTGATTACAAGTCGAAGATTCATGAATTGACATGAAATAAAGGCAGGATGTCAGATTGACATTGTCAGATGAGTTGTTATTTTGATTTATTCTTTTGAACTGAAAGTATATGTTCTAAGTATTTTAATGCGAAACTGTAAGTATATCTCCCAACTATTTTAATATTTTTTGTTAAATTGAATGATTGTTTATGTTCAGCCAATTTATTTGAATGATTGATTGTGTTATTCCTTCCGAACGGTAAGTTGTTCCTTGATATTTTTAACATGAATATTAATTAACTTTTATTGTTTCCGTTTTTTAGGTACAAGTTTTTATATGGATGGATAATTGGTTCCTTAACAATGTTAACATGAAGATCGATTACATTTTGTTATGTTAGTTTTCAAGGAAATGAGGATTTGTGTTTATTATTTTTTTGGTAGTTGATTCGGTGCGTCTCTTCTGCATTCCGATCGGTATAAAATGTGAATTCGTTGATTTTGTTTATTTTATTTTACAGGTTGCACGGAAAAAAGTTGACATGTTTATACAATGTCCAGCATGTTTCATACTAAGTTGTGTTTATTAAGTCTTCGGTAAGTTCACTGATTTGGTATGTATATGGTTGCAATCGATTAGCGTGAATTATATGCTCCCTAATGTTTACTGATTTTATTTTTCAGCTTACAATTCTTGCCTAACAGTGAGTATTTGTTGTTGGTATGTTCATGTGACGAGCAATTAGTTTTTCCTGTATTGTTAACATTGAGTAACATTAAATGTTCATGGTCTGTACTTTGTCTAAAGATTAAGCATTGTTTTTTCGGCCATGCTATCTATTTGCTCCAGCTGATATGTAACCATTTGTTTTGGGACTGAGCTACACGAAACATTTATGGATTGGTTTATGTTAAGAAGACTCGTGTTAGTGTTGTTTTTGCTAACTCTGTTCTTAGGTTACACAATCTGTCCTTAACTATCATCGAATTGTGATGCTCGACGCATTGTTGTCACAAGGTGGCAAAATCTGATAGTAGTTGAGGTTTGATTTTATGATTTATGAATGGAATGTTATTGTATCGAGTTTGGTCATTGTGGACGTCAACGTTTCGTGTTGTCGGAGCGTCATGGTTGACATGATGGTAATGGTGATTCAAAGATTTGGTTATTCTGGGTTCGGCGTTGCTGGATTGTGATGGTTGTTATTGTGCAAGTTATCTTGCCTGCATGAACATTTGCGGTTTGGCGTTTGATGAAGTAAAGATTTGTTGGTTGTGGTCAATATATGGTGATTTTAATGTATTCAATTGTATGTGTCCAAATCATCTATGTATTTATTAATATTGAGGCAATATATCAAAGGTGTGTTTTTTGGATCGTGATATCTTATGCAATGAATTAAAACAAATAAGTTGTCAAGCAAATCATGCCGCCCAATTATGGATGACGATTTTTTACTCTTTTTGTTAGTATGTGTGCATCGCATTGGCATTGGGAAGGTCTAATCATCTTGACGTTCTTATACCATTTTCTAAGTTGTAGGTTTAACAAAATATTTACTATCCTTTCCTTTGGACTTGCACCAATGAAATATTCCTAAAGTGACCAATATAGGAACAGATGGGATTGTATCAAGGTATCCAACCTCCTATCAAATCCATGGTTTGGCAGTGTTCCTAGAAAAGTTATAACAATTTATAAACGTTACCAATCATATCCTAATAATGGTTAGGCAATGGAATGTAGAGCTCAATGATACCTTATGGATAAATTGTGGATCGGTATCCACTCTATTACAATTCTATAGCCAAATTGATGGTTTGATGGTGAAGTTATCAACCGTAGTAGACTTTGAAGAATCATAATTATGAACAATGGTTAGGCAATAGATTCCACACTATTTGTTAGACAATTTTTTAAAGATGTTGAACTACAATATCAATAAAAAATTAAGTGGTTTAATGTCTCTCTAAGTTGGTATCAGGCAAGCTGCATAATACTTGTATAGGAATAGATGAAGTTGTTTATCTTTCTGATATATCAAGCTATCCAAATTTTTGTGTTCCTTAGATCATGGATAAGTATTCAAATTTATGGTTTAGCAGTGTTCATAGAAAAGTTATAACAAATTATAAATGCAATTAATGACATCCTCAGTATTTGCCCTATATATATAA